TGAGTCACAGTATGGTAAACTAGAAAGTGCCTAGGGTACAGCTTGGTGACTAGCCATCTCCATGACTCTAATGGCTTAGTAGGTTGTTTAACTGCTCCAGACTTGAGATTCTTTGAGCACAAAATAAGGGAAAGGTGTGTTAGATGGGTAATTTCCAGGTGGCCCTTCAGCTTTTAGTTTGTAGTCTAATGTGTTCAGTCTACAGCGGCATACTAAGTGGTTTTTATTGTCCCCTTGTGGGTGAAAGCTGAACTGTCACTATCACTGTATTTGTGTAAGATTTAAGAATAATCTGTTCATTACAATAAAAAAACAAATGTATTTAAAACCAGCTATTTGATATCATGCAGATAAAGCGTTTGCATGAATATTTTGCTATCAGCTCTTTTATCAAGTTGACAGAAGCTTAGATTCTAACCTTTCTAAAGCAAAATAGTATAGTCTCAGCTTGATCAGAAACAAAGCACATATCAAGTGGACTTCTCTATCTCCCCTGTCCATCAGAGTTTTCTATTTTATAGGACCTTAACCATTTCAATAATTTGTTGGTATAATTTTAAAATACCATAAATAAAATTAAATGCCAGAGATATGGGGGGCATTGCAGAAAACCAACAACATGGATAAAATCAAAGGTTAATATCCATAAGAGTTCAGAGACGTTCATCAGAGGTAAAAGTGAATGTTCAGCATCCTAAGTGGGCTAAGAAGTGCAAGGGTCCATGTACTTAAGAAAAAATAGAAATGGTAAATAGATATATGCACGACTATTATTTGCAAATAAAAACATGAGATTATTTTTATTCATTGAGTTGGGCAAATATGGTTAAAAAGGAGAATATTTCATATGTTAGGGGTTTTGGGGAAATAGGCCTCTTATCCAACTTGTGCTGATGTCCTTTCGGACAACTTTCCACAGGATAACTGCCAATGTATATTAAAAACACGAACACATTCAGGTTCTCTGATATAAAAATGTCACTTACAGGAAATAAACAGAGATATGAACTGAGATTAGTATTACATATCTTCGCTGCTGATTTATATTATAAAAAAGAGACAGCCGGAATCCAGGTGTGTTGTCACATGCTGTATCCTAGTACTCTGGGAGCTTCAGGCAGGAGGATCCCAAATGCGAACTCAGCCTGAGTAATTTAGCAACTTCAGGAGAACTTATCTCCAAAAAGGAAAGAAAGAGAAAGAAAGAAAGAAAAAAAAAAAAGAAAAGAAAGAAAAAGAAAGAAGGAAAGAAGGCAGGGGAAATAGTTCAGTATGAAGGCGCCGGGCTCAATCATCACTCTCCAGCTCTATGAGAGAGAGAGAGAGACAGACAGACAGAGAGAGACAGAGAGCGAGAGAGAGGGAGAGAGAGCGAGTCAGGCTAGCAACAGTTGCTTGATTGTATATACTGATGAGTTCTTCAACAGAATATTTTGTAAACATTAAATATAATTCCTAGAACAAAATATGACTCAGAAAAAAGTTATATATTTGCCTGTGTATGTAGTGTGTGTGTGTGTGTGTGTGTGTGTGTGTGCGTGTGTATAAGACAGGGTCTTGCTATGTAATTGTCAGCCTTGAACTCACTATGTAGCCCAGGATGGCCTTGAACTCATGCCAATACTCTTGTCTCAGTCTCCTGCATGCTGAGATGATAGGTGTGTACCATCACACCCAGCTAAATTCAGTGTATATCTAGTGAAAAAGATTATAATCAGCATGAACAGTATTACATGGACTTTCTTTATATAAATATATCAAAAATCCACCCTAAAATGTTAACTCTGATAATCTAGGAGGGTCTCAAGTTCAAACTTAGCCTGAGCAAATTAGCAACTTGGTGAGAACCTATCTTAAAAAGTAAAAAAAAAAAATTAAAAACCTTTGCCTCAAGCTCCATGTGAAGGCCCTGGGCTCAATCCCCAGTACAGAAAAACAAAAACAAAAGTTAAATCTATTATCCTGGAGTAATAAGATTACAGATGACTTTTATTTTCATTGTCTTGCTTTTCTATTCTTTTATCCCCTAGTGTTTCTGCCATGGATGTGTATAACTTTTACAACCAGAAAAAGACAAAAATTTAAAATGCTTACCGGTGACACTGTTTTCCAGAGAGAAATAAATGGAAAAAGAGAATATTCAGAGGCTACTAACACTTGTTTAAGTATCAGAAGATTCTGATAAGCCTACATGGGACACAGCTCTGCATACATAGTTACTAAGGCAACCAGGAACAATGTGAGGGAGATGAAAAGTATAAGCTTTCTTATAATGCTTTCTTGTGAGTCCATCACAGGAAGGCATGATTCATATTTTTGCTCCAATCAATACAGATAATGTTGAATTCAGACCTATTTCTTTCATTAAATAAGCATTTTCCAATTTACTTTTATTAACTCAATAGAAGCAGCACAGTTTGGCAGGTCTGGTCAAAATTCAAGAGTATTATAAGGAGACTCGTTTACCCATAGTTCACATGCCATGAAAGAACGGACAGATTACCTAAAAATACACATTTTCACAAGCAAAGTCCACTGTTTAAAAAGGAATTCATACATGGGTTACTCATAATTCTCTGTGTTTCTTTGGAGAAGACAAAGAGATTTATAGAGACACACAAACCACTACAGCACTTCCTGTATGACTAAAGGTGATAACTCCACAGGCCATAAAGATAGTAACTCTCATTGGGAAAACACTCAAGTAACCCTTCATCATCTTAAAAAGAATCTTACAAAAATATTATCACCAGCATCACAATAAAAGATAGATTGCTAGTCATCAGGTTTTGTGAGCATATAAATAAGGGGACACTGAAAAATCTTTCATTCTCAACACATGCCAGTATTTATCAGTATCTTTTACTTCTCTTAAAGAAAGGAGGCAAAGAATGAGGACTCTATTGGTTGGAAACAAGGAAAATAAAGAGATCAGTTTGGAAAAAAGGAATATTAAGTGAATATCTTAAAACATGTATATAGGGCCGGGGATTATAGCTCAGCGGCACAAGAGCCTGCCTGGCAATCCCAAGGTCCCAAGTTCGATTCCTGGTACCAAAAATAAAACATACATACAAGTTAACATTTTTGTCAAAAGGTAGAGCCTAAGACCTGTATGTCTATGTATCTTCCAAATTCATATGTTGAAACCCTAACTCCCAAAGTGACAACGTCAGGCGGTGCGTCCTTTGGGAGGTGTTTAGGTCAGAAGGGCAGACCCCCTATTGAATGGGATTAGTGCTTTGATAAAAAAGGAAACCCCAAAGAGATATCCCCTCCCCTCCACGCAGTAAGAAGGCACCATTATGAATCAGAAATAAGGCAACTCATCCAACTCTGAATCTGACAGCATCTTAATCTTGGAGTCCCCATCTTCAGAACCATGAGAAATAAAATTCTACTTTTTATAAGCTACTTATTTTGTGGTATTTTGCTATAGCAGTCTGGACTAAGACAGTGTAACACAGTTTATCTTCCCTAAAATCAAGAGTAAGCAAACCACTCCGCTATAATGAATCCTATACTTCTACAGCAAGGAGAGAAATAAGTGATATGATTATCAGGATCACTGAGTTTAAAAAATATTGTTGCCAGGACTACTTTGGGTGATGGAAATGAAAGAAGAGATGCTCTCCATGACTCTCATATTGAAATTATTCAAACTGATGCCTCAATTTTCCATTGTGCTTTTAAAATTCAATTATAGGACGGAGGAGAAACCGTATGTCCCACACTTTCCATTTTCTGAAAGAACCATAGCCAAGTTATGTCAAAACACGAGACTCTCCATTATTTCATAAGACAGCCAGAGACTTACCACTGGCTGATGGAGCATGCAGAAAAACAGCAGAGACAAAAAGCTAATTTTCTGCCATGAAAATACTACTTTCAGGTGAGAAAGTCCTTTTTATGTGGTGCTGGGAATAGAATCCAGAGCTTCGTGGGGATGGAACCCACGGCAAAATTTTCCTAATTGTAAACAGATTTTGTTAAATTACATACTAATATTTTGAGGCTCAGCAAATCCTGTTTGAAGGAACTATAAACTTATGAGCTTCTATAGCTTAAAAGTTGCATGACTGTAGCCTAACTGAAGGGATTTGGGAAGCTACACATGAAGTGTGATATGACAATTTTATTTCAAAAATAATCTGTGTTCTCCCCAGTTTGAACTCACAAAGTCCCACCTGGAAAAAGGAGATAGAGGGTAGAAGAGGACCAAGTCAGTAGCAGGTGGAATCAATGTGATGAAATCATGTACAGTGGAAACAATTTTGCATCCACACTTTAAAAATTGCCATTATGTATGTTCAAGCCATTTGATACTGGTGTATCTTTAATGTTCAGTACGTAAGGGCAAGAGAACAGAACGTTTAACCTAATTCTCTTTTGTTTTCTGAGTCGTTTAGCCTATATTTTTGCATTTTCTAAGGTCTGGATCATTCACCAGTCAAGAAAATAAAGGGTACCGGGTATGGTGGGGCACGCCGGTAATCCCCAGACTCAGGAGGCTGAGGTAGGAGAATTACTATGAGTTCCAGTACATGCTGAGCTACATGCATTCAAGGCCGGCCTGAACTACATAGGGAGACCCTGCCTCAGTAAGTAAATAAGTAAATAAATAAATAAATATGAATAAACGGAGTATACATATTCTGTTTGTACATTATGACAGTTCAAAATTTGTTTTAAATTATAATGAAGGGATAAACTGGAGAGTTACTATCTAATTCCTAGTCTCACTATTCTTTGTGCATTAGAAAAGGGTATAAAATAAAATAAATCCTCCCAGTTGCCTTTTTGAGTTTGCTTCCCAATCAGTATAGCAGTACCTGCCTGATCACTAGGTAGAGCTGCTCAGAGTATCGCACGGCATATGTTCCAGTGGTCATATCAGATGCAGCATGAACGAGTGAGTTGATTGAGAAGTACTGTCTGCCACACCCACCAACTGCTCAAAATGAGAAAGGGGAGGAATAAATACAAACATTGTATGTTGGTTATTCAAAATGCGCTTTTTATTCACTTTAACACAGATGATATTTTTACAGTTGAAAGAAAATATCTGATACATAATTTTGAGATTTTTAGCAGCACCTGCACCAAGAGGATTGTGGAATGCCTCAGGATAAAGTCAAGCTGGCTGAGGCAGACACAAATAAATCAGAAATTCATCAATCCATTGAAGACATATGGAATCTGAGGACCCCAAAAATTAGCCAATACATGGAAATAAACTAAGTGAATATCTGTATGATGTTTTAACAGACCTTTGAAAAACACTGTCTTTCTAATTAGAAATATATTATTCCAAAAATCTAGTGTTCATTAAAAAACATCTATTGAAAATATTGCACTGCACATTCTAGAGTACATAGTCAATACTAAACTTATGTGCACAGATCCTGATATTCACAGATTTCAGCCTTTGGTGTTTTTAATTTTACCCAAACTCTACTTCACTTACTGTTACTCACCAAAACGCTGTTATTTCTGTCACTGCATGTTAAGTGCTTTCACTAACGTACTGTGTTGTAATTTGAAAGGAAAAAAAATGGCATGGCTAAGAGGAAAGGGGTTTCAAGTGATCTGATGATAAAATTAACCCTTTTCTTAGATGGACAGGATGCCTACAAATCAAACACTTACATCATTTTTTATTCAAATGACCACATGCCACAGTAGGACACAAATACTTCTGTGAATTGCTGGAGGTCTTTACAAAGGCCTGAGATCTACAAAGAGAAACTATTATAAGCAGAGTGCAAGTAGAAAGAGAAGGCTCCAGGTCTCATGCACTTAAAAAGAATTCTCATTTACCAGGTCTGACATATAGATTTTCACAGTAACACGATTGTAGGAAAATGATCATAGAACTTCGAAACCTGTGTGGCTAGCTATAGGCAGAGGCAGGATAGGAACCAATACTTAAGAGCTGTTGGGTTCAGGTTCTGGCTTTGACTTCCGGCATCAAAGTTAATTGGACAATGGGGCCAAGAGTCTATTTTATTGGGAATATTGAGTATAACTGGGTTGAAATACTATCTTCTTGTCTATGTGGCCAAAAGTCTCAGAGCTCTTAAAGTACATAAGGTCCCACATGTAAGGCTGATTCCATATGTGGCTCTAATGGAGAGTTCTAGGCTGTATTCCTGTAAAAGCTCCCACTCCTCCCTTGACCTAGATCTGTTTGGGAGATCATTTCTAACTGTCCCTCACTATACTGGGTCCCAATTTTTACCACAAACATTTTAAAGTACAGATTAAAAACTATGTAGAACGAACAATCAACAAGAACTAGAGTTCATACTCAGAGTACACTATACAGTTGGCAGTCATGGTAATCAAAAGTTATCAAACATTTTTGCTTTTAATATGCATCTTCAGGATGTTTGTCTCTGAGATTAAGAATTTTACCTGCCACAGTGCAAAACAAAAAGAAGAGCTATATAGTTGCTGTTAATTAAAGGCTGATCACAGAATAGTTGGAGAAGTTTTTGTCTCTCTCCATAGTCTTAGCTGTTACTTGAAGATCAATATAATCATAACATGGCATAGATACGGTTTTTAAATTCCCAGCATTGAGAGCTGAAAGCGATCTTATAATAAACATGTAGCCAGTGAAAAAATTCTTTTTATAGTATTTTTAACAGACGGTTATCAGTGAATATTTTCACTGGGAGGGAGTCCACTATTAAGGCAGTCTATTCCACTGTCAGACAACTCAAATTATGAGAAATTCATCGTAACACGAGGTTAAAAATCTCTTTTGTCACTTTCAATATCCTGGTTTGACCAGCTAAATATACAGTACAACACACAAGAAATAAGTTCCTTTTTGTACAATAAATATTTGAGTTTAAGGAACACTGTAGGAAAAAATCCATTATCTCTCAATCTTTTCTGATGCCTTCTTCATTAGCCAGCACGGTGGACCAAAGGACCATCTAAATTATGAGCAGAGAGCAAGGCACCCAAAGCCATGTACTAAGCAGCACTGCTAAATTGATAAGAGGTTGTCAGAGAAGCAACATCTCTATGCAGCAACAGTATATTTATAAAGAAAAAGCAGACCAACCAGTTATTTGCAAAGGTGGTTGGCATATTTAAGCACAGTCCATTTATTAGTATCCTGTGACTTCAAATACATGGATCATAATAAATTTCCAGTGTCATTACAATATCCCTGATTGGGATGGTATTGTTTTGAAAAGCGCAAATGGGAGAAAACTATACACAAGAATTTAAATAAATCAGTTTACATCATTACACGTTTACATGACACATCATCCATTTTTATAATTCACGCTTGAGAATCCTTGTTCTCATCACTGTTTTCTCTGTAACATAGCTCAGTCTTATTTTTTCCCCTTTGGCAAATAGGTTAGAAACTGCTTGGCAAGAGTTTGACAGTGACATTTGCTAATTGATCAGTGGGACACTGTAAGGGATAGCTGTAACCCCTTCACTCCTTCATGTGGCTGGATTCTAGGTTTCAGTAGTGATTTTAAAACATTTAAACCTCTCAGGACCAAAATTTTCTGAAATATCCTGAGACACACAAGAAGGGAAAACAGCAGAAATCACACAAAATACACTTGGTGTAATAATGCTTTTTTTTTTTTAAATACTCGCTCTACAAATTCAATTTGAAAGGCTCTGTTTCATAGTCAGAACCTTATTGTTACCTTTTTATGTGTTTGTGCACACTTAGAGGGGCACAGTAATTCTTACACCACTCACTATCCAATTTGGTGCACAAGGCTTCCTATTTTTAACAGCATGAAGAACTTGCTTTGGAGCCACTGTTCAAGTCAATGGTGTGACCTAACATGCAATGTTCCAGCTGTTCCTCTACAGCCAACACCTGCCTGACAGCTTCTTCAAAGGCCACTGTCACATTAGTATCATCTTTGGCACTAGTTTCTAGGTAAGGGTAATCACCGTTCTCCACGCACCAGGCTTGGGCCTCCTCAGTAGTCACTTGCCTATCCTCTTTGTCTACCTTGTTGCCCAGAACTACAAAGGGGAAATGCTCAGGGTCTTTCACATCTGCATAGTAGATGAATTCTTTTTGCCAGTTACCTAGGTTCTCAAAGCTCTGCCGGTCATCCACACTGAAGGTCAAGAGGCAACAGTCTGCTCCCCTGTAGAAGGGCGTCCGAAGGCTCTTGAAACGTTCCTGTCCTGCAGTATCCCAGATCTGGAGGGTCACAAAGCGTCCATCTACCTCTAGATCTCGATTTAAGAACTCTACCCCTATGGTGTGAAAAGCCTGGGAGTCAAACTTATTAGTTACATAACGGTTCATAAGTGAGCTTTTCCCAACTCCACCATCACCCAAGAGAATGACTTTTAAGAGCAAGGATTTCCCACTCATTGCTGCCGCACCAAACAGGGAGGAGTTTATAACCAAGCGAACCTGAAAATAAATGAAAAAGTAGGAGGGAAAATAGTTAAATTTGAAGCTTAAATCAACTCTGAATTTCTCTGAATTATGTGGCCTTCTAATTTTGCTTCTCTTGATTCATGCTCATTAGTTGATACAGAATAGCAAAAGAAATAAAACTCTTTTTGTATAAGGGAAGGAATAAGTCTTGTTTTTCTGAGGTCTCTTGCCTGTGCCAGGAAAATAGCTCGAATGCCATGAATAATAAGTCAAGTAGCAGATGGTCCTGCACTTTGCTGCAGTTCTGCTCCTATTGCAGGGGAGAGAGCCTAGAATAAGAATGCACGCAAATGTGTGACTCTGTTAGCTTCCAGTGTGGACAGTTCCACCCGGGAGGCCAACAGTACAGAATACCTGTGAGACATGAAGTCTGCTCCTGAGGGACCCAAGAATTACTGAGAAGAGAGAGTTGTGTAAGCTGGATTCTTAATTATGACAGTAAAGGGTCTGGGTCATAGTAAGATTGGACCCAAGAATATCAAAGAGAGTAAAAAGTCAAGTTTCTTCAGGTATTTACTCCATTTTCCTGGCAGTGACAGGGACACCCTCATAGGAAATGGATCTTTCATGGTCTTCTTCATGGAACAATGGCACTGGTTGATGACAGTTGACTCATACCAAAAAAATTGACATTATTAGGGAAACAAATCTTGAGTGGCTTATTAGTTTTGCGTTTAGCATGTAAGTCCATAATAGTGACATATGAAAATGCACGGTAAAATCTAAAGTGCTAAAAATATACAGTACGTTTCTTGATACCTCCACATGTCTATAAATGGAATACTTAGAGCACATCTTAAAATGAAAAGATCAATGTTTACAGGACAAGTAATTTTTCTTATATTCTCAGGTATTTTCACACTGTGAGAACTCAGTAATGATGATGTTAATTGGGTAATATTTACACAAGAGACATAGGGATGAAAATTCATCACTAATCAAAACAGCACATGCGAAAGAGCTTCAGGAGGCACACACACACACAAAACGTAATTTTCAAAACTTAGTAGGCCTTAAAATTATTTTGGAGTATATATATATATTTTTCTAAATATTTATTTTAAGAGATCTAGTTAAAAATATCAAAATTTTATACTTTGCCATCATGAAATACATACCCAGTTGAGTTTTTGTCACAATTTTTTTCTTCCTCTTTTTTCCTGTTGTGGCTTTCTTCTAAAAAACAAAATAGGCAATATTCTTTTAAAACTTTATAATAAAATAAAAGTAGAGTTATATATGAAAATGCATTAAAGTCAAGGGAAAGAAAGCCAGAGAAATTTTAAGTAACCTACAGAGGATGTTTTTCACAAATGTATCTAAGATTTCATTTTTTTGGTACCAGGAATCAAACTCAGGGCCTTGCGTTATGCCACTGAGCTATATCCCTGGCCCTAAGATTTCAAAAAGTTACAGATGCTTAAAATGCACAAAATAATTTCATTGCCAGAAATTTAACTTCTCATAATTTCAGTGTAATTTTTTTGAGTTTTATGTTGTCTCTCCAATGATTCTTCATTCAAAGTAAAAGTGAATCAAACAAAGATGATATCCATAATAGGTGATATTCAGGAAAAGGAAAGTACAGAGGACTCTAAGATATGTTGATATTTTAAGTCAGAAATGAAACTCCTTCCCACTATACCTACTTACATTCCCTCTACACACACATTAGTGCACTCACCTATATGCCTCAAGGTTGTCTCTGCAATTGATGCCACATGATCAGAGAAGAAATATGTTTGTGGACTTCTTGTTTAAATCTGTCTTGAACACAGGTTTTAATATTTAGCTGGCATTCATAGTATCAAAATGATATATAAATTTAACAAAATCTCCATCAAAATGCCATCAACTTTTTTCACAGAAACAGAAAAAATAATTCCAAAATTTATAGGAACCAGAAGAAACCCAGAATAGCCAAAGCAATCCTGGGAAACAGGAGCAAAGCAAGAAGCATTACAGTCCTAGACTTCCAGTTATTCTACAAAGGCACAGTAGTAGAAAAAAAAGAATGGTACTGGCACAAACAGATATATTGACAAATGGAATAGAATAGATGATGCACAAACAACCCCAAGTACCTTCACCCATCTAATTTTTGACAAAGGGGCCAATAATGAATGCTAGAGAAAAGATATCCACTTTAATAAATGGTGCTGGGGGAGATGGTTATCCACATGCAAGATAATGAATCTTGATCCATATCTGTCACCATATGCCAAAATCAAATCAAGTGGACCAAAGACCTATATATAAAAACAGAAACACTGAATATACTGGAAGAAAAAATTGGTAAAACTCTTGAAGATACAGGCATAGGAATGAACTTTTTGAACAGAACTTCAATTACACAAGAAATAATACCAAGAATCAACAAAAGGGGTTATACCAAAGTAGAAAACTTGCACAGCGAAGGAAACAACTGATAGAATGAAGAGACAATGTACAGAATTGAAAAACATTTCCCAGCTACTAATCCCACTGAGGACCAATATCTAGGATATGTAAAGAACTTTAAGAAAGACCGCCAAAAATAAAAGACCCAACAAAAACTTGGCAGTCAAAACGGACACTTAACAGAAGAAATACAAATAGCCAATAAATACATGGAAAAAGGGCCTGGGATAAAGCTCAGTGGCACAGCACCTGCCTAACAAACACAAGGTCATGAGTTTGGTTTCTGGTACAAAAAAAAAAAAAAAAAGAAGAAGAAAAAATATTCAGCATCTCTGATCACTAGAGAAATGCAAATGGAAAGACCCCTGAGATTGTTCCAGTGAGAGTAACCATCAAGGACTCAAAAAAAAAAAAAAAATTCTGCCAAAGCTGTGGGAGAAAAGAACCTCCTTTTGGTGGTTATGTAAACTAGTACAAGCACTTTGGATATCAGTATGGAGATTTCTCAAAAAAATAAAAATAGAAATTCCATTTGACTCAGCTATACTTCTCCTGAGTATCTTCCCAAAAGAGCTAAAGCCATCATATTATAGCAATACATGCATACCATGTTTATAGCAGCACATTCACAATAGATAAACCATAGAAGTGGTCTATACTTCCATCAGCAGATGAATGGATATATAAAATGTGGTATATATACACATGGAGTACTATTTAACCATACAGAAGGATAAATTCAAGTCACTTGTAGGACTTATGGATGGGTCTTGAGACCATAATGCTAAATGAAAAAAGTCAGGCACAAAAAGTTAAATATCATGTATTTGTCTAAATTGGAAGACTAAAAATATAAATAATTTTAAAAGAAGAACAGCATCATGTTAAGAAACAAGGAGGATGACTCTAGAGATGGAAAGGGGGTGTGGGGAAGGAAGAAGAAGGGAGAGCAGGGTGGAAAGCGGGAGTAAAATGATCAAGGTATGACGTGTATGTATCAAACACAAGATGAATGGAAAAGCTATACACTGCAAAGTATACCAATAAACATTTAAAAATATTTAGCTAGCCTTATTAAATTCAAATATACCTTCACCTAGTATTATAGTTACTTGTGTGAAGAACCTCTTTGAAGCATTTCATCAGTTCTGGTCCAAAGTAAAAAGAGTTCCCCTAGGTCTGTGGGGTGTTCTTTTTTACTGAGGAATAAAAATCCCTTAAAAATATATGCTTCTTGATAATCTTATTTGTTTTTTCAAAAATAATCAGGAATTAATCAGATATGTAAATCATTGACTATGGATATAAATCATATCTTTTAAATTGATAGTTTTTATCCTCCCTTTAGGTCTACACTATAAAATTCTCAAATTTCCTACAATTCCTGGACTTTTTGTCTTCTCTTTCTGCTTTAAAACTGCTTTCATTGGAATTAACTTGTATCCTCTCTCTTTCTCCCTTCATTCCCTCATGTATTCCTCCCTTTTTTCCTCCCTCCCTCCCTCCCTCCCTTCCTTCCTTCCATCCTTCCTATTTTCTCCTTCTCCCCTTCTCCTTCTTTTTCTGGTACTAGAGATTGAACCCAGGGTCTTCATACTGAGCTACATCCCCAGCACTTATTTTTTTAATTTTTTCTTTTGAGATAAGGTTTCATCAGGTCACTCAGTTGTTCAGGCTGGGTTCAAACTTGGTAACCTCCTGCTTCAGCCTTCCACAGTGCTGAAATTATAGACATGTGCCAGCATGTCTGGTTTAAAAAATATTTCTTGAAGTGAAACGAGTGTTAGCATATATCTTCATTTTGTAAATTTTTGGTTTGGTTTTTGCAGTCCCGAAGATCAAGCCTAGAGCCTCATGTACGCTAGGCAAGCACTTAACCACTGAGCTACACTCCCTGCTCATATCTCTTTATTTTTATACTGGCCTGCAGGGTAATTTTACAATGCATAATATTTTTTGTTTGTTTTTTGAGACGGGGTCCCACTATGTAGTCCAGACTGGCATTGATTAGATTGCAGCCCAGGCAGCTCAAAATCATGGCGATCCTCTGGCCTCAGCCTCCCAAGTACAGTGCGTAACCCTTGAACTCTCATTTTAAAATGTAATACAAGGACATACAAACTTGAGCCACAATAGTGATGCTTAGTATTACTGGTGTATGCTAAATGAGTTTTCTGAAGTTCCTAGCATACAGGTGTTCCCATTATTAAATGGCTCACTACCTCAATTTCCAGCTGCATATAAATTCAATAGACAGGCCACAGACTGACTGAATACAGGAACCAAACACTCACAGGAATTATCATGAATACAGAAATTATCATGAAGTATTGATAACTACCTGAGATAATACTCCAGTGGCTTGTGCATTCCCTATTCGGTTATGTGCACACGTAACTTCTGGGTACATAGGCTCCGTGCCAGGGTAAAAAGGGAAAGAAATGTGGTTCACTGTCGAGCAATGAACTAGAGATTCTATCATGGATGACTAGAGGCAGTGGTGCACACAGGATGCTCAGAACATGCATACAGGAAGTACAGGTACTCGCAAACAGGAGGTAAACAAAGACCTAATTATGGGAAGGCACTTGAAGGAGAAGCCCACCAGACAAATTTCAGTATCAGGGGTATTTAGAAAAAGAAGTTGGGCTGCCCCCTTGATCCTGGCACTGCTCACATCTCAGGTCTAAGGAATGTGCTATCTTGAGAAAAGATCTAACAACCTGAGGGAAAAGCTGAGTTCAGCAGGCAGCCAGGCTACTGTGAACAGCCCCTAGCCTAGAGATCACTATTCAGATCGCTCCTGTCCTCTCTTCTCGCTGGTTAGCAAGATATTCACCAATTAGGGTACTAGAGAAATGGAAAGGCAGTGAGTGAGTTAGCGCTGGCAGGCCCTAGCGAAAGAAAGAATCAAAGATGTGGACATGGTCTTGGTTAGGGGACCAGAACCAGACCTTAACAGAGCCACGGCTCAGTGAGCTGCAGGGGTCAGCAGCAGTTGTAACTGGAGAAGAGCCACTGGAGCAGAGGCAAAATAGGCGCTCTCTCATTGCTTCTCCAAACACTGGTGAGTTCTGTGCTCACAGGATATCCTGCCTGCCAACTGCTTTCCAATCACTGCAGAACTTGGTGCCTACACAGTCAGCTCCCGCCCTCACAAAACCCTCCGGCTGCCAGCCAAGTGACCCAGCTCTTTGAACTCTAGCACCACTGCGTTCACTGGATGGATAGTGACTCTTTGTGGGGTGTGGACAGAGTTTGGCACAGGCGAAAAGATGGAAAGGAGTGGCCCAGCCAGAAGGGGTTGTGTGGTAGACTCAACTGGAGTGGCACTGAAAGAGGAGATATAAGCAGCTGCATGGATTATTGCAGGAAAAAGGGAGCAGAGATTAAGAAGACCCCTGTGGAAATCAGCAGAAGATTGAGTCCTCGACAAGCAACATTGTGCCCTGCTCCTCAATGACAAGATCAGTATGAGATCCTGATTTTAAAACAGAGGCAAAAAACTTCTAGCTAGCCATCCCCAGAAGAATGCAAATTAAGCCAAGCACAACAAAGCCTGCAGTGGAAATGAGGTTCAGCACTCTGTCCAAAACCTCAAAACCTTTCACTCACTGCAGGCAGAACAAATTACAGGAGGCGAACTAGCTCAAGTACCAGTAGATATACCCAACCTTCTGGATCTAGCCATAGAGAACTGAAGCTTAGCCACCCCCTCACCATTATGGTTTGTAGCTGGATGCCCCCTACCAAAGCGTC